TCACCCAGATCCAAGCGACGCAAACACAACACACTGGCACACATAACCCCCCCTCCACACACACATACACACACATACACACGCACGCAGACACACACACACACACACACACACACACACACACACACACACACACGCACGCACACACACACACACACACACGCACCAAATAACATGGCGGCAGACTCTTGGACGTTTCCTTCAGCCCCGAGAGGCCGGCTCCCGGTCCAGGGAATAGAGGAAATGGCTCAGCATGAAAAGCAGGCCCTGGGGAAGGAGTGGAGGTCCAAAGGGGCGCGTGCTCTCTTGTTCTCCCTCGCGGGGGGAAGGGGGGGTGGGGAGGGGGGAGGTGACACGGACGAGGCCGAGGAGAGAGGCAAGAGGCGAGAGGCGAGAGGCAAGCTGGGCACGTTCGCGCCACACATGATATCCAGACCCTACTTTCCATTGCCCATCCTGTCTCCTTGCGCACGTCCACCCTTCTTCTGCCCGCCGCCGACTGGGGCGTCCTGGATGGCCTTGATCGCCGAATGGCAGTTGCAGGAGTTGACCGATCGTTTGCTGTGATATCGCGAAGGGGGGCTTTTGTACATTGGAGGAGGATGAGGCGGATGAGCAGGAGGAAGATGACGAAGCAGGAGGAGGAGAGGGCGGTGGAGGAGGTGGAAAAGGAGCGGGAGCATCAGGAAGATGGAGAGGAGTGGAAAAGAGAGGTGCGACAATCACGAGAGATATCAGATTTGGAAGTGTGGACCGAGCTGGGGCATGAGAGTCATTATGAAAGACGGGAGCATCGCACGGTTCCTGAGATGCGACCAGTTTTGCAGTTCGCGCGTATTCTTGAGGGGCCAGAGAAGCTCCAATCGAAACATCGCATACGACAGAAACAAAACCCTGATGAAACCCTATGGGGGGAGGAAACGTAAAACAGGCAGGGGCACCGCTGCACATTGCAAGGTAAAGGAGAAAAGTTAAGCTCATAGTGAGTAGTTGCAGAGAGGAAAAAGAAGATGAGGATAATCCGGAATAAGAGCGCAATCAGGAACCAAATCGTAACAGCAAACAGGAGGCACAGGAAGAAGAATAAGAAGGAAGCAAGAGGCCGAGGACAAAGGATATTGACGAGAAAGATGAGGAGGATGGAGGGGGACGAGGAGGAGGCGGGAGGAGGACAAGGAGGAGGAAAAGAGCAGGAGGGCATAGGGGGAAGAAGAAGAGAAAGGATGAGAGAGGGTAACTAGATGCGCTCGCGCCACATCTGGCACGGCACAACTTCCTCCCGTTCACCATTAGGTCGTTGAGTCCTCATCTATCCGCCGAGTGGGGTGTCCTAGACGACCCTGGTTCCGAAACGACAGACGCAGGACTTCATCCGTCGCTAGCTGTGCAATCGGGGGATGGAGCAGTAACGTCCGAAGCAGGAGGACCCGAGAGCAGAGAGGGAGAAGGGGGCGGCAACAACGCGGCAGGAACATCATTCGGAAGCGAGGCCCGTGCAGGGACGGCGTGGCCGCCTCATCGGGACGGAGACACGAACTGTGGCCGCGGCTGCAGCGGGAGCACCATTCTGAATGGCCGACAACGCTGCCATTTCCAAACTACGTGGCCATGTGGAGAGTTCTAAGGAGCCCCGCACAACAGCAACACACAACACGTGTCTTGGGATGACGACCTTTACTTCCGCCAGTCCCTGCCGGATTTCCGCGGGCTTCCGCCGGCGAAGGCAGCTTCGTCTTAGCGTCGCTGGCGCTCGCCGCCTTCCGCCGAGGAAGGGGACACCCTCGGAGGCGAAGCGCGGGGGCAACGAGAAGGCACGAGCCTTACGGGGGATGCCACAGCGACCTTGCGCGATGGCTTACGCGGGCCGCCAGCACGGCACGCCACGTTGGAAACGGGGGGCGCTTGTGCGCGACCCCACGCGGGCAGCTTCACGCGTGAATGTCGGCGCAGTCGACCCCGTTTTCCTTCGTGGATCACACGTACGGTTTCGATGAGGAACCCTTAGAAAAGGAATCCAGGGCCTGGAGGCCGGTGGAACTCCAATCGAGGCTTGGCCATGGATATCACCTTTGCCCTCATCAGACAAGGAATCCTCTAGGCTCTGCAGCCTCCCGGGCGCATTCCTTGACCAACGCCCCCACCGTATTGCGCTGGCTTGCTCAAGCCCTGTGTGTGTGCGTGCAGAGCAGTGCGCGGGAGATGGGGGGGAGGGGGGCGAGCGGCGACACGTTTCCTCGGGGAGCAGCAGTCATGCTGGGCGCGCTCCGGGGAGAAGGGGAAGTCGGAGGAGGACGACGACAAATACCAGGAAACGCTGGGGACGCCGGGGAGATCGAGGAGGAGGACGACGACGACGAGGGCGACCCCGAGGACAGGCAACGGGGGAGTGACCCAGCCACGCGCGAGGGGACGCGCGGTCCAGTGCAGGGGACGAGGAAGAGAGGGATGAGAGGAGGAGGCAGGCAGGCAGGCAGGCAGGCAGGCAGGCAGGCAGGAAGCAACGGAAGAGAGAGAGGGAGAGGACGAGGGGAAGGATGACGAGGAGTCGTAGGTGCAGCTGACTGCCTTGCCGCGTGCAGAGGACCGGGCGGACCTCGTCGAGCTTACCAGCACGCACGAGCTGGGCCCTCGGACGTAGGGAGAGAGGAGGATGGGGGAAGAAGGAGAAGGGAGGAGGAGGGAGGAGGGAGGAGGAGGGGTTGTGTTCTCGTCACCCGTCTTGCCTTCTATGTGATCCATCGTCTACCTTCTCGTCGTCCTCCTCCTCCTCCGCCACCTCATCCACCCTCCTCTTTTGCTCCTTCCTCCCCCTCATCCCTCACACCTCCTTCTTGGAGAGCCTCTTGGGAGTCTCCTGGGGCGTCCAGGGCCCAAACCAACACGTCCCCAGATAGGACACTTGTCCCAGGAGATAAAAGCGAGAGGCCTGGCCAACACGTCCCGAAGAGGTTCCACATGCAGAGAACGCCCAGAGAGCACAGTGACAGCCCGAGAGGGCCCCAAAACAGCCCACCACGGCCTCAACAAGAGGACCTCCAAAGGACCCCAAGGTTCGCACTCAGAAATTAGCCACGTGAACAAGCAAATGTACACACCTGTGGAAGCCTTCGGGGCAAGCTGGCGTGCCCTCGTGCCAGCAGTCCGGTATACCCGTGCCAAGTCAGCAACCGTGCACAGATGGGGCCCTGCGCCGTCGTGCCCTCTGCCACGCAAACTCTCGGTGGCAGAGTGCCCGTGGTGCCCTCTCGGGCCGCTGTAGACACCTCTTATCCCGAATGGCTACGGGAAGATCCAGACCAAGAGATGCGACGATCTGCTCTTTGTGTTCATGTGCTCGACCTTTAGAGGCGTCGCTCCGCGCGTCAGGAGTTGAACAGGAAGCCACGTCTCTTTCCGCCAGAAGAGTGCTTCAAGCACCTCTTCTGAGAGGCAACCCAGGTCAAACTTACAATATTGAGAACTGCGATTCTATGTTGGTAGCCTCGCTCAGAACAGAACCGGTGAAATTTAGAGAAAGAGAGAGAGAGAGAGAGACAGAATGAGGGCTGGGAAGGCTTCGCGCCAAAATCGTGAAACGTCATAAGGCGTGGCAGTAGCGATGACTGCAACGACGACGACAACGTCGACGACGAGGGGGATGACGAAGCGACAGGACGAGGGGATGAGAAGTCCCCACAATACTAGGGACCTGATTCTCCTGGAGCCCTGACCTTTGCCAAGCTCGGCATGCTGACCTCGTACCAAACGAGGGCACACAAAAACAACATCTATACGGAGAATCGCGGGCAAGCAACGGCAAGTGTCAAAAAGAAGACAGCAAGCCGCACTGGAACACGGCAGCGAGACAGCGGCCACACGGCTTGGCAGAAATGACGGCGACAACGATGACGAGTGCGACGACGACGATGCTGCCGAACGGCAGAAAGCGAGAGAACAACGACGAGAAGCAGGAAGCGAGAGGCAAATGGCCGCCGGCCACAAATTTGCGAGTGCGGCCCAGATGATCTATGCGCCGTTCCGCTGGCAATACAAGCGAGCCTGCAAAGCACACGGGCGCAGATCGAAAAATGGCGGGGCCTCCGTCCCATTGGAGACAAAACAGTGCGCAACTGCTCAGCAAAAGCAGGTTCCGGAAATCCGGAATCTTGGGCTTCTCGGCGGCGCATGTTCCACTCCCGCTGGCCTTGCGCCGGCGGAGCCGCCCCCGTTCTGCTTCCCCAGGGAAGAGACGACAGCCCTCTCGAGCCGGGAAGGGCGAAGCCCTCCCCGGAGCGCCCCGCGAACAGGGGCCAGGCCTGGAACCCCCCAGGGTTGAGCAGGGACCGACCGTCCCGGTATTCCTGTAGTTCTTAGAGCCCAAAAATGTTCCAAGAACCAAAACGACGTCCTTAGAACACAAGCCCGATGCGACAAAACAGGGCAGACCCCGCCAGAAATGTTCTGAGAACACTTCGTGGAAACCACAGAAGGTTCTTAGAACACAGCTTGGTAGGGCTGTAGGCGAGCCAGGACGCTTCGCCACCGCTTGAGTGGGGGAGACTCCACCTGCTTGAAGCAGGCGCCCAAAACTGCCAAGATCTGCTCCATGGGGGGGGCAGGGGGGGCGAGGGGCCGCGCCGATCGGTAAAACCATGACTAAGAAAACGATCACTCTCTCTCTCCCTCTCTCTCTCTCTCCTTCTCTTCTTCTCTCTATCCATATCTATTTCTTTACTGCTCGACTCCTCTCTCTCCTCTCTTCTGGTAGGGCTATAGGCGAGCCAGGACGCTTCGCCACTGCTTGACAGGGGCCAGGCTTCAGGGACGAGCTGCAGCAGCAGAATCGGTCACAGCTGGGGCAGGAGGCGGGCCCGCCTCGAGGCCGGCGCGGGCGCTGCCCGAAGGGGCTCCCGGAGGCGGAGCGCCCGTGCACACCAGCCAGCGTGCGCGAAAGAAACCCAGCAGACGCATGGACTGCCGGGGCCTCCGCAAGTCCAAGCCGTTGCGCGAGGTTTGTCTTGTCAGGCGTGCACTCCGTACATCCAGTGGCCTCCAGCAGGCCAGCTCGGATCGGAGAAGGCGTAAGGCTCGAGGCTTGGGAGATTTCGACTTTCTCGGCGGGGCGCCAGAAACATGGCGGGACCTACAGTAGACACATACGAGCAACAGTCCTGATATCAGAAATACTGGGCCACATTATTCGTCGAGATTTGAGCTTCCCGAGGTGTCCGAGAGCTTTCGTGGGACCCTTGGGCCACCGGGGGCTGAGAAACTTCCGTCGGGCACCTGCTGGCAGGCCCGTCTCTTGTTGGATGCGCCTACTGCTATCTCGCACGCGACACGAACTCCTGTTGCAAACACCTCACGATACACGTTGTTCATTTCTAATCGTGCTCATTTCTAAATGTGCTCGTTTCTAAATGTTCCTGGCCCCCTACCGGCTAGAAAGAGCCCCAGGATGGAATAATTAGAAATGAAAGGATCTTGGCCCCCCAAAGACTCCAAGAACTCTCGAAACATCAGAAATGAGCAATGTGTAACTGGACCGTCAAAAACAGCCCTGGGGACGTCAGAAAGCAGCGACAGGCCCGAGTTCTGGCACCGACGCTCTTGTTGAGTCCGCGGCCACGGGGAGAATAGTCGCGCGGCCGTCGAGCTCCCACTGGGCCGCGGAGGCAGACGCCGCTGCCGCGCGGGTGGGCGAGGCGGAGGGATCGAGTAGGAGATCGACTAAAGTAGGAGGGCTCCAAACAATACACCACCACCACCAGCCCTGGCCAGGCCCATCCTGGGCCCTGGACTGGTGTACAGGCCCTCCCGGCCTAGGCCTGGAGGTCTGTACACGAGTCCAGGGCCCAGGATGGACCTGGCCAGGGCTGGTGGTGGTGCATTGTTGGCATCCCCCCGACTCAAGAACTGGATCACCCCACAATTCCTTGCTCGTCGAACTTACGAACGGAAAATGCGTGGACTGCTTCGCATGTCTACGAACATTCTAGGTCCAATCTGGGATACATGAAGTCTGTGGTCGATCCCCTACTCGAAAAGGAGGAGGAGGTGGAGGAAGAGAAGTTGGAAATGGGCCGGGGGGAGGCGAAGGAAGGGTCTGGGATCGGGGATCAAACACGGACTCCCGCACTCCTCCTGGAGTGCATTCCAACCAACACGTTCCGGGGGAATGGCAGCCGTGGCGGCGAGAAAACGCCCCAGGAACGTCGCATGGGGGCGACGAGAAGGCCGAGACACCCGGATCCCCGAGGCTTGATCCTCGGAGCTCGTGGGCGGCACACTCGAAACGAGGAGCTGTGCGGCATCATGCTCAAAGGGGGGTCCTTGCGCAGGGTGCGGGACGACAGGTCGGGGGACAGCAAGGTTCTGATACCGCTGCTCCCAGGAGCTCTCCCAGGATGCATTTGGACTGGAATTCCACCAGCCCGTTGGGCGCAAGTGGTTAAGGAGTTTGAATGTAAAACCTTTCCCCGTTGGGGGAAGATTTTCATCTCCCCCTACCTCGTACGCGAAGCGTCATGAATTTTGAATGGAGTCCAGCCGCAGCCGTGTCGGCATCCGTTTTTCCCCTGGCGCCCAGGGGCAGTTCCAGCAAGCCAAAGCAAGCATATATGAGAAACATCCGGGAGGCCTCGCGTAGCGACTTGAGACCCAGTGTACGTTGGCTCCGCGTCGGGTTTGCGTCGGGCTCCCGTCGGATGTGCGCCGGATCTGCGTCGAATTCACGCCGGACTCACTTAGGAGAACCGCCGCGCGAACCTTCCCGAAGCTGACGGGGCGGGCGCGTGGACTGGCTCATACAGCTACTGCAGGCCGCGCGAGGCCTCCAAGGTTTGCCGCATCGCTCCTACACGGATGTTTCCCAGAGGAGGGAGGTCCAGATGGAGGCGGGGACCTCCTCTCGTGGGCCCCGAGGAGCCAGAAAGGTTCGCAGCAAACCGAACGCCTCGTGCGCGATACCCTCGGATGTGTCAGTGCCCCTCGGCGTCGCCAGGGCGGCGTAGTGATGTCACTGCAGCGCTGGGGCGTTCCTTGGTGTTGCTTCGCAGGTGGAGCAGCAGCCGAGGGCTACGCTACTGCCCAGCACTTGGCACCAGTGCCTGATCCGCCAGAGCGCACGAACTTCCTCGGTGGCCCTTTGCTCAGAGACGGCCGGGGCGTTGAACCGATGCGCAAAGTCCATGGTCGGTTTGCAGCGGGATGGGCGGCCGCATCGATCGATGCATGGTGGCGACCAACGAGAGCGATCTTGCAGGGGGCTCCCTGCCAGATGGATCCGCGCTGGGGGCCGCGTCGCACTTAGTGGACGCCAGAGCCAAGGATTTAGCATGGAGTAGTCCGCGCTCCAGCAGAAACGTGCTGCAATGCGTGCTGCTGCGAGGGTTAATCCAATGTCCGCGAGCTGGTCTGCTGACGTGTTATGCGTCGGCATCAAGCCCGCGCAGAGCACGGCATTTCCTCTCCCGAGCACCACGAGGGCACAACGTCTCCTGTGGTCGCGGAAGGAGCTGAAGCCCGATGCCCTCATACAGTCCCCGCAAAATGGGGCCACCACGGGCCCGCGCTTCAATTTGAAATCGGCGGCGTCTCTCTTGAAATCTTTCGATTTTCTATTTCGAATCGCTCCTTTTTCAAAACCACCTTGTCCTGTTTGATGATGTGCGGGGGACTTGAAATTTTTGGCCTTTTTCAAATTGGATTCCCTTTTTCAATTTGAGAGTAGCCCTTTCTCAGGTTGAATCGCCAGTCCGGGGACGCTGAAATTTCTTGGGTCTGAGCGTCGCTGCTGGGACGTGCCTCGAGTGGACAATGACCCAGGCGACCGCGGTCCAGTCCGCCAGGGGGGGGCGAGCCAGGTAAGCCCGCCTGGAAGTCCTCGCGGGCACAGCCAGCCGTCGCAGCCCGACCGTCTGGGCCAAGAGCACTCAACCAGCCAGGCTGACCGGGAGTGGCCAAGAGGGGGGTGTCCAAGAGGGGGGGGGTGCAAATCATGGCCGGCGGCATGTGCGCGGTCCAGCGGGAGGGCCAGGGACGTAATGAAACAAGAAGAGGCGCCATGAGATCTGGGGATATATCATGGCCCGCGCCATGATATCCACCCCCCCCAGTCATCACCCCCCTCTTTTCCGCCCCCGAGCTGAGGAAAGCAGCCGGAACCCGTCGCGCCAGCCCGACCAGCAGGGGCAGAGGCCACCCAGCCCTCCCACCCACTCAAAGCTGGCCGAAATCAACAGGACCGGAGAGACTGCTCGGCCCGCTGGACCAACCAGGCCAATCAGGGGGAAGCCAGACAAGGAGGACGAGGAGGAGGAACGAGTTGCCAGCGGGGGGACGTATACGAGCAGGAGGGGCGGGGGAGAAGTGACGGGATATGGTACACGATGCGCCAGGAAGGAACGATCCCCAACATAGACGACGACACTCCGAAACGCCGCGGTGCCCGGCGAAACGGCCCGGTGAAAAACCGAAGGCGACGGACGAGCAGACGCGGGAACTTCGGCTACCTGAGCGCAAGCCGCCTCGTCGCAGATTCTGTCGCGCCCGTGCCAACAGAGATCAGATCCGACGGAAGACAGACTGTACGTTTCAGTTTGCCCCTCCTTGATCCTGTGATGATGCACCCCTTTTTTGAGTCGAGAACATGTCAGAGGCTAGGAAAATTGACTTCACTCGGAGCGTTTCCTTAGACAGCAGTCCAGATTCAGACACAAGAAAACCATACAAAAAAGAAAGCTCAGAGACAACGCCGAGGGTCCCGTCCAACCTCTTGATTCTCTAAAAACGGAATCCGGAGTCCATGAACCTTGCTGCTTTTTCTTAAGAATTTTTGCTGGGCGGAGCAGCCTTACGCCTCCCCGATTCAAGTCGAAGCCAGGACGAGGACAAATTCGGAAATCGAGGATCTCTGAAATCTGGCGGCTCTGGGGGATGTCTCGGGCGCCGCGGCCTTCTCAGAGCGTTCCGGAACGCTCTGAAAGCGTTCCAGGAAGAGCGACTTTATCCTCGTCCGATCCTCGCCCGACCGATCAAAGGCCTGAAGAGCGCCTCTGGAGGGCGAAAGGGAAGGAGGCCGGCTCAGACCGCGAGCGTGCTGCCCGAGCTCGCGAGGCCGAGCACGCTGCCCGTGGCCTCCGGGCACCTGCAGAACTCGCAGGAGAGCTCGCCCTCCTCGTGGCGAGGGCAGGGTAGGAGCCAGGATTCGGCCTCGCGCGTATGCCAGGGGGGCGCAAAAGGGTTGGGCAGGGGCGGAGGTGGGGTTGGAGGAGCATCGCTCAAAACGGCCCGTGTACGCAGGAGACGTGGGTTTACAGCTGGGCCTGGGATGACCCCCCCTCTACGAACTTGGGCTACCCTATTGGAGAGCCTCCTGAGGCTCGCCAGCCGGTCCCCCTGGGCTACCCATCGTTCGGAAGAAGAAGGTCGAGGCGTTGAAAGTAGATTCGGCTCCATCCGCTCCCTGGGGAGGACGGGAAAGGTGAAGCCGCTCGATTTTTGAAGTAGGAGGGCGCTTAAAGTAGATTGGAACATGGGAGCCCCAAAAGACCTACGTTCAACGACCGATGGGTACCCCTGGGGGCCGCTCGTGCGCAGCCCTCGATCTCCGACGGCATGACTTTCTCAAATTCAGCGCCTCTCCTCGATTCGGGCCTCTGTGGGTCCGTTCTCGGGCCTGGGGGCTGTCAAACATGGATCCGAGAAGGAAGAAGCTACCCGCAGGGAAGCAGTCGTGACCTCTCGGGATGCGGATTAAAACAAAAATAGGATCGGCTTCCATCCCCTCTCGAATCGGATGAAACAAAACGGATTGACCCTGGCCCTTTCCCAAGAGGACCCGCCCTCCATCGTGAGCAGGCCACAGTTGCTGCACTGACCGCAGAACATGCTGTCATGCCGCGCGCTGCAGGGCCTCTTGCTAAGCTCCTCCCGCACCCTGTCCAGTGAGGGCAGAGCGCCGTGCAGCCAGCAGCAGGCGCTCCCCGACGTCGAGACGTTCCACTGCAGCAGCAGGTAGGACAGCGTGAGCGTCTGCGTGCTCATCGGCGTCGGCTCGTATTCGGGGTGGGTCATCCGCGCCCTTGCGCTCCCAGGAACTTCCGTGCACACCGTGGACGGCGGCGCGGCGGCGCCGCCTGTAGATTCTCCTGTCTGCAAGACCTCATTGGGCGGGAATGAGGTCAGGATAGGATTGGCTTAGATTTTCCAGGATTTCTGAAATCGGATGTCCCTCGTTTCTGCAACCCGTGCGAAAAAATATGACATCTGCAGAGCCCAGGAGATCCTGGAGCGTACATCATTGTCATGACATTTTTGCTCCTCTGACCTCGTGCTCCTGCACTGGTGGCAGGTCCCTGGAGCCCATGCGGGGCACCAGTGAGCCAACGCTGACGCCACCTGCCTGCCTCACCTCCACCAGGCCCTTGAACTCCTGAAACTCGTTGCCAACCGAGGCGTCCTCGGCCGTGGTCCCGGTGTCGCCGGACGACTTCCTTCGTGTAGCGGGCAAAAACAATATACATAAACTTGTCCGCCGTGGGGGACGCCTGCCCCAGGGCGACTGGAAAATTCATACCCCTATGGTGGCACGTCGGGGTATAAACTGTCCAACCACCTCGGGTCTGTCGTCCCCGACAGCGGAACAGCGCATTCCACATATCCGAAATCTGGGGTTCTTGTTAGTACTGTTCTGCCTCCGCCTCCCTTCCCTTTCTCAGGTCACGCATGCCCGAAGTTACACTCATACTCGCGTTCGTGCACTTTCATCTTCAGCGTAGCCGAAGTCATCACCCATGAAAGCACATCCATATTGACTTATACTCAGACCACCTCATACTCAGACTCACTCACACTCGGACACGCTCGCACTCAGACGCGATCAGATCCAGCTTGGTCATACTGGCACTCAAACACACAATCACCACCAAAAACCACACTCAGACTCACTCACACTCGGACTCACGCACACACTCTCTGTTGAAGGCCCCGTGGCAACCCCGATGTAGCAGGCGTGGCCCTTGGGCTCCCCACGGAAGAGCCGCCATGGGATAATGACACTTGCCCGTTCGCGGTCCAGACTGTGAGGATGTCTCCGGCGGCTGGCCTGTTTATGCCTTGGACTTCTCTGCTTTCAGGGCAGATGGTGAGGATGTTTCGAGCGAGACGCTGGCTTAGTACCACACACACACTCTGTGATGAGAGTCGCGTGATCGCCGCAGTATAACAGGCGTGGCACCTGCGCACCCCACGGAGGAACCGCCGAGGGATATGGCACTTGCCCGTTCGGGGCCAGATTGTGGGGATGTCTCAAGCGGTTTGCCTGTTTGGTGGCTTGAGTTGTTCCAGCGAGGCGCTGGTTTCAGCTTGAGAGCCCCGTGGCCACCGCGATATAGCAGGCGTGGCACGCGGGCAACCCGAGGAACCGCCAGGGGGTACGACACATGCCCGTTCGCGGTCAGATTGTGGGGATATCTCAAACGGTGGGCCTGGTTGATGGTTTGGACTTCTCTGCTTTCAGGGCAGATGGTGAGGATGTTTCGAGCGAGGCGCTGGCTTCAACGCGCCAAGATAGAGCCCTCACTCACACTCTGTTGAGAGCCCCGGGACCGTGGTCACCGCGATATAGCAGGCGTGCAAACTGGGCACCACAAGGACATTCCGCCGGGGGATACGACAATTGCCCGTTCGCGGTCAGATTGTGGGGATGTCTTCGGTCGTGTGCCTGTTTGGTGGCTGCGACCTTCCTGTGTGCAGGGCAGAGTGTGCGGATGTCTCGAGCGAGGCGCTGGCGTCAGCACGCCATGAGGGAGCCCTCACTCACACACTCACTTTTTGGTCTGCGGGTCGAGAGCGGGCCTCTTCCGTTTAAGAGCTAGGCGGGGCGCGCAAAGCACTAATTGGGGAGACAGGTCGCGGGCGGGCGGGGCCTCAGGCGGCCGGAGGGCGCGGGGTGCAGGCGGTGCCGAAGAGCTTGCACAGGAAACCTCACTCACACACTCTCTGTTGGCGTGGCCACCGCGATATAGCAGGCGTGCCCGTTGGGCGCCCCAGGCAGGGTCCGCCAGCTGGTATCACGCCTTCCGGTTCGCGGCCAGACCGTGGGGGTGTCGCAGGCGGTTTGCCGGTTTGGTGGCTCGGGCTTTCCTTCCAATGTCAAGAGCAGTTCGTGAGGATGCCTTGAGCGAGGCACGGGCGTCAGCACGCTGAGGGGGAGCCCCCTCTCACGCACTCTGCTGAGAGCCGCGTGGCCACCGCGATATCCAAGGCGTGGCTCCCGGGCCCCCCAAGGAGGGGCCGCCAGGGCGCAGGACGCTTTCCCGTCGGCGGGCAGATCCTGGGGAATCGATCTGGACTCTCCTGGTGTCAAAGCAGGTTGTGAGCTTGTCTCAAGCGAGGCGCTGTTTTTAACGCGCAAGAAAGAGCCCTCACTCACTCACCCTTTGTTGAGAGCCCCGTGTTCACCGCGACATCGCAGTCGTGGCACTTGGGCGCCCCAAAAGAAGAACCGCTAGTGGGTATGACACTCCCCGGTTCGCGGCCAGACTGTAGAGGTGTCTCAGGCTGTTTGCCTGCTTGGTGGCTTGGACATCTCTGATGTCAGGTCAGATCGTGAGAATGTCTCGAGCAAGGCGCTGGCCGCAGCACGTCAAGAGGGAGCCCTCACGCATACGCTCTCTGTTGAGAGCCCCGTGGTCACCGCGATCTAGCAGGCGTGGCTCTTGGGCCCCCCCCGGGAGGAACCGCCGAGGGATATGGCACTTGCCAGTTCGCGGCCAGATTGCGGAGATGTCTCAGGCGGTTTGCCCGCGTTGTGGCTTCAGTTTTCCTGCTTTCAGAGCAGAGTGTGAGGATGTATCCAACGAGGCACTGGCATCAGCTTGAGACCGCGTGGTCGCCGCGATATAGCAGGCGTGGCACTTGGGTGCCCCCAGGAAGAGCCGCCAAGGGTTACGACGCTCGCCCGTTCGCGGCGAGATTGCGGGGCTGTCTCAAGCCGTTCGCCTGTCTGGCGGCTTGGACGTCTCTGATGTCAGAGCAGCTTGTGAGGACGTCTCGAGCGAGGTGCTTGTCTCATGGCTGGGACTCCTCTGTTTTCAGAACAGATTGTCAGGATCTCTCGAGCGAGGCGCTGGCTTTGGCACCCCAGGAGGCCAGATCGTGGGGATGTATCGAGCGAGGCGCTCGGTGTAGCACCTCCGGCCCATGTCCAGTCAGAGCCCCATGGCCACTTCGATGTGGGGAGGACGACGGCCGCCAGGACGGAGGAGGGAGGACGGAGGACGTAGGAGGACGCAGAAAGAGGGAGACGGGAGGAGGGAGGAAGAGAAGAGGAGGGGGTAGGACAAGGAAGAAGAGGAAGGAGAGGGGAGGGTGCCTGCTCACCGCCTGTCTGTCTGTGAGTTGTCGTCGTCGCTGTCCCTCATCGTAGCCGCCGCTGCGCTCGTGGTCCACTCGGACTCGTTCTCACACCCATACGCTCACGGCCAGACACTCATAGCGGGACGCACCAGGAACTGAGATGCACCTGTGGGGATCTCCGCGTCGAAATATTTAGTACCGTTCTTGGTCCGCTCGTTCGAAGACCGACAGGAGCGCATGTAGCAAAACGGCTTTTTGGTGAGCGGCGAGGGGGACTCCACGGGTGCGCGCGGCACCGCATTCCGAGCGCACCCTGGATGGGTATGACTCACCGACGTAAACACAAATAACCGAACGTATCCGGCAGAACACACGCGGGTTTGCGAAACCCGACAGGCGGCTGCACCGACGCACTGCGAATGCCGATGTCCAACGAACCGGCGCATCAGTCCTCAATCGACTTGTCGGGTTGGGCGTTCTACCGTTGACACCAAGCGGTCGGACAACAAATTGGGCATGGGCAGATCAGAACACCGAGCTTTCTCGCCTGGGTCGCTGGCTGCGGCCTGGAGGCCTCGACGGCGACGACGACGAGGACGACGACGACGGGAAGATCTGCTCGATCGCCCACTTCCAAGTGGGGCGCTGCGGCACCCCCCTGGCATTTCTGCCCGATTCCTGCTGCCGCTGCCTGCGCTGCCCGTGCCCGGCTGCTCGGCCACCGCCCCCGTCGCCCCGCTGACGATGCCGCATAGCGCCGCGGACAGCTCGTCGCTGACCTTCGGGGGCTGCCCAGGGTGCCCCTGGCCCAAGGAGCAGTCCCGGCTCTTCGCACGACTTCTGGGGCCCCGGGGCCCTCCGGGCCTTGTGCGGGGAGCTGTGGGCCCAGACATCCCAGGACATCTGTGCGCGGCAAGGCTCGAGCTGGACGGCTTGGTTCTCAAGCTTCGTTTTGTTGTCGTTTCTCCCTCGTTCTGTCTTCATTCACCTCTGCTGCAAAACGACACAAAAGCAACAACGGTCCGAAAGATTGCCAAAACACCGTTTGGCTTCAGCCCTGGCGCGCGATTGTTTTTCCTCCGCGGCCCCGGAGGGCTCGGCCGCCTCTTTGGGGGTATTTTGTCCGCCCCGGATCCACGTTTGGTGGCCTTGAGCCCCCAAAACCGGCCCCTGGAAGCCGGCAGGAAACAAAAAACATTTGGGACAAAACACTCTTCGGATACGGGGGGGGGGCACCTGGGAATCCTTGGGGGGTACCTTGGGCCCTGGGGGCACTCCTTGTGGACAGGCGCCGACCATGTGCGCGCGACCGTCACGCGCCAGAGGGCAAAAAACAATCCTTAGGTCGGGCATGTCCTCCTACAGGCGGATTTTGGACGGAAGGTACAACGTACAAAACAAATGCCCCCAAATAGTCAAAAATGGTGGAAAGGGACATACGATCTGTTTACTATTGTTGCATACTCCTCCTGCAGAGGGACAGGCCCGACTGAGAACAATCCCCAATCCTGGAGGCACGTTGGGCCAGGGGGGAGGCTGCCCCCCCCCCCCCCCCTCGAGCAGCGAGGCCTGCTGCGCCGTGGGCCGCAAGGCGGGCCTCGGCTGGATGCACTGCTCCACCAGCGGCCGGCAGGCCAGCGCGAGCTCGTCGGCGGCCGTGGGCCACGTCAGGCTGGGCGGCTGATTGCGCCTCGGCCGCTGTTCTTGAAGCGGAATACACATGTGTATCACATCGAACACGTATATAGCTGTTATGTGTTACCTGCTGTTTCTCTTCCGCCCCTCTTCGGGCAAGTGCACATACATATATATATATATATATATATATATATATATATATGTACACATATATATATATATACATATATATATATAACGGAAGGGGTCCTAGCGGAGGTGGGAAGATTAGGGGAAATTTCTGGGCCGATGCTGGTAAACGGCCGGGTTCCCGGGCTCCCGGTTCCGGGTTCGGTTTCGGTGGGCGGCGGGGTGCTCCCAGGTTCCCAGGTTCCCGGTCGACCTCCCTATCGATCCCTTTATCGATGCCACGATCGAACTCACTATCGATCTCATGATCGATCTCAGTATCCATCTCATTCAATCGATCTCACGATCGATTCCATCATCGATCTTCCAATCCATCTCACTATCGATCTCCTATCGATCTCACTATGGATCTCACTATCGATCTCCTATCGATCTCACTTCATCGACCTCCCTATCGGTCACTATGGATCTCACTTCCTCGACCTCACTATCGGTATCACGATCGACCTCTTTATCGATCCCACTACCGATCTCACTATTGATCGCACCATTGATCTCACTATCGGTGTCACAATCGATGTCCCTATAGATCGCACGATTGGTCTCACGATCGATTTCACTATCGATTTCACTCAATAGACTTCACCATCGGTCTCGACGTACTATCGTCCTCCTGCTCGATCGATCACGCGATTGGTATCACTATCCATCTCACGATCGAACTCACGATCGATTTCACTATCGACCTCACTGTTGTCCCCGCTAGCAATATCACGATCCAACCACGGGACACCACGGGCCTATTCTACATTAATATGTGCACACGGAACTAGAGAAGCCACGATACCAAAGAAAAACAAATCATAATCCTTTTAGGGCTAGAGGGCTATGGGGCTATAGAGCTATAGGGCTATAGGGCTAGAAGGAGATGGGGCTATAAGGCTATAGGGCTATATGGCTATAGGGCTATGGGCTATGGGCTATGTGGCTATAGGGTTATAGGGCTATAAACTATGAGGCTATAGGGCTATATGGCTATTGGGTTATAATAAGGCTATTAGGGCTATAGGCTATAGGGCTAGAGCACCCTGGCACCCGGGCACCCCAAAGCACATCCGCGGGCACCCCCCGGCACCTCCGGGCACCCTGGGGCACCCAGGCACCCGGGCACCCGGGCACCCCCGGGCACCCCCGGGCACCCGGGCACCTGGGCCCGCCGCCGAAATCGGCGGCACACCTCACCTAACAATATGAATCCGCTTGGACCCCTACAGAGGCAAGCCCTGATTGGGGAATATGTGCGTATGTGCATGCACATGTTCAAATCTATCATATGCTACATGCGACCAGGGAAAACACAGTCAAGCTGATAAGCATTTCCGCAATCAGTGTTTGCACTGAAGGGTTCCTAGCGGAGGGTGGGAGATTTAGCGGAAGTTCCGGCCCGATTTCGGTAGGCGACCAGGTTCCCGGGTTCCCTGTTCCGGAGGCCCCAAGAGGCCCGCAAGAGGCCCAAAAGAAGAGGCCCCCAAAAAGCCCCCAATAGACGTCCAAACTGCCTCTAAGAGGCTTCCAAGAGTCCTCCCACGAGATCCCAACGAACATCCAATAGGCTTCATACCCACAACCCAAGCACGGTGGCGGGATGGGCCGAAGGCCACTATTTTTGTTTATAAATGTGTATATGTATACACGCACATACATATCACATTTTTATATATGCTATATACTATAGAACGGCTTATTTATATCACCTATATATAAATATGTGTGTATATATATATGTATATATATATATGTGTATGTTTCAGCCGCCCCCTTTAATCAAAGGGGTGCCTGGCGTGCTGAATCCTTTCGGTTTTTGGTTTGGTGCTTTTTCTAAAAGAACTCCCCCTGGGTCTTCGGCCCATCCCGCCGGGGTCCCGGGAGGATTGCCACGGAGCTCAATTCCCCAAAACATCCTTCAAGACGGCTCCAGATGGCCTCCAAGATGGCCATGTTTTGGCCCAAGATGGCCTCCAAGATGGTCCAAGATGGCCTCCAAGTCCGCCGAAGATGGTCCAAGACGGCCTCCAAGACGGCCTCAGAAAGTCCAAGATAACCCCAAGTTTGCCCAGGAAGCCTCGAAGATGCCTCCAAGACGGCCGAAGAGTCCTCCAAGAGGTCCTCCAGGAAGGCCCGAAAATGCCAGAATCATGAATTTTCCGGGATGTTGGAATTTGCATCTTCTCGGCATTCCGACGGATCAAGACGACCCATAAGGCCATCAAGATCGCCCCAAGATCGCCCAAGAGGCCTCCAAGAGGGATCCTTGACGGCCCAAGAGGCCCCCAAGACGGCCCCAAGAGAGCCCCAAGATGGGCCAAGAGGCCTCCAAGACGCCCAAGACGGCCTCTAAGACGGCCCTGGAGCACCCCAAGAAGGCCCCAAGTCGGCCCAGAGAGGCCCCCCAAACGGCTTCCGACGGCGTCAGACGGGCCAGGAGCCCACCAAGATAGCCGAAGTTGGCTCTAGGCTAGCCCAAGACGGCCCAAGAGGCCTCCAAGAGGGCCTCCAGAAAGGCCCGAAAAGGCCAGAATCATTGATTTCCAATGAGTTTTTGAAGGATTGTGGCATTTGCTTTTGTGCGGCCTTCCGACGGCCCGAGACGGCCCAGGAGCCCCCAGAGATCGCCCCAAGATCGCCGAAGAGGCCTCACGATCGATTTCACTATCGATCTCACTCAGTAGACTTCACCATCGGTCTCGACGTACTATCGTCCTCCTGCTCGATCGATCACGCGATTGGTATCACTATCCATCTCACGATCGAACTCACGATCGATTTCACTATCGACCTCACTGTTGTCCCCGCTAGCAATATCACGATCTAACCACGGGACACCACGGGCCTATTCTACATTCATGTGCACACGGAACTAGAGAAGCCACGATACCAAAGAAAAACAATTCATAATCCTTTTAGGGCTATAGGGCTATGGGGCTATAGAGCTATAGGGCTATAGGGCTAGAAGGAGATGGGGCTATAAGGCTATAGGGCTATATGGCTATAGGGCTATGGGCTATGGGCTATGTGGCTAGAGGGTTATAGGGCTATAAACTATGAGGCTATAGGGCTATATGGCTATTGGGTTAGAATAAGGCTATTAGGGCTATAGGCTATAGGGCTAGAGCACCCTGGCACCCGGGCACCCCAAAGCACATCCGCGGGCACCCCCCGGCACCTCCGGGCACCCTGGGGCACCCAGGCACCCGGGCACCCGGGCACCCCCGGGCACCCGGGCACCTGGGCCCGCCGCCGAAATCGGCGGCACACCTCACCTAACAATATGAATCCGCTTGGACCCCTACAGAGGCAAGCCCTGATTGGGGAATATGTGCGTATGTGCATGCACATGTTCAAATCTATCATATGCTACATGCGACCAGGGAAAACACAGTCAAGCTGATAAGTATTTCCGCAATCAGTGTTTGCACTGAAGGGTTCCTAGCGGAGGGTGGAAGATTTAGCGGAAGTTCCGGCCCGATTTCGGTAGGCGACCAGGTTCCCGGGTTCCCTGTTCCGGAGGCCCCAAGAGGCCCGCAAGAGGCCCAAAAGAAGAGGCCCCCAAAAAGCTCCCAATAGACGTCCAAACTGCCTCTAAGAGGCTTCCAAGAGTCCTCCCACGAGATCCCAACGAACATCCAGTAGGCTTCAGACCCACAACCCAAGCACGGTGGCGGGATGGGCCGACGGCCACTATCTTTGTTTATAAATGTGTATATGTATACACGCACATACATATCACATATTTATATGCTATATACTATAGAACGGCTTATTTATATCACCTCTATATATATATATATATGTATATGTGTGTATGTTTCAGCCGCCCCCTTTAATCAAAGGGGTGCCTGGCGTGCTGAATCCTTTCGGTTTTTGGTTTGGTGCTTTTTCTAAAAGAACTCCCCCTGGGTCTTCGGCCCATCCCGCCAGGGTCCCGGGAGGATTGCCACGGAGCTCAATTCCCCAAAAAATCCTTCAAGACGGCTCCAGGTGGCCTCCAAGATGGCCATGTTTTGGCCCAAGATGGCCTCCAAGATGGTCCAAGATGGCCTCCAAGTCCGCCGAAGATGGTCCAAGACGGCCTCCAAGACGGCCTCAGAAAGTCCAAGATAACCCCAAGTTTGCCCAGGAAGCCTCGAAGATGCCTCCAAGACGGCCGAAGAGTCCTCCAAGAGGTCCTCCAGGAAGGCCCGAAAATGCCAGAATCATGAATTTTCCGGGATGTTGGAATTTGCATCTTCTCGGCATTCCGACGGATCAAGACGACCCATAAGGCCATCAAGATCGCCCCAAGATCGCCCAAGAGGCCTCCAAGAGGGATCCTTGACGGCCCAAGAGGCCCCCAAGACGGCCCCAAGAGAGCCCCAAGATGGGCCAAGAGGCCTCCAAGACGCCCAAGACGGCCTCTAAGACGGCCCTGGAGCACCCCAAGAAGGCCCCAAGTCGGCCCAGAGAGGCCCCCCAAACGGCTTCCGACGGCGTCAGACGGGCCAGGAGCCCACCAAGATAGCCGAAGTTGGCTCTAGGCTAGCCCAAGACGGCCCAAGAGGCCTCCAAGAGGGCCTCCAGAAAGGCCCGAAAAGGCCAGAATCATTGATTTCCAATGAGTTTTTGAAGGATTGTGGCATTTGCTTTTGTGCGGCCTTCCGACGGCCCGAGACGGCCCAAGAGCCACCACAGATCGCCGAAGAGGCCTCCAACATGGCCCCAGAACGGCCCAAGAGGCCCCCAAAGCGGCCCCAAGAGGGCCCCAAGATGGGCCAAGAGGTCTCCAAGACGCCCAAGATGGCCTCTAAGACGGCCCTGGAGCATTCCAAGCAAGCCCCAAGTCGGCCCAGAGAGGCCCCCCACACGGCTTCCGACGGCATCAGACGAGCCCACCAAGACGGCCGAAGATGGCCCCAAGATTGCCCAAGACGGCCCAAGAGGCCTCCAAGAGGGCCTCCAGGAAGGCCCGAAAAGGCCAGAATCATTGATTTCCAATGAGTCTTTGAAGGATTGTGGCATTTGCTTTTTTCGGCCTTCCGACGGCCCGAGACGGCCCAAGAGCCACCACAGATCGCCGAAGAGGCCTCCAACATGGCCCCAGAACGGCCCAAGAGGCCCCCAAGGCGGCCCCAAGAGAGCCCCAAGATGGGCCAAGAGGCCTCCAAGACGCTCAAGATGGCCTGGCACGTGGACGCCTGGGAACAGTGAAGTGAATAGCGTGTCGCGTCGTGGCGTGGTGGGCCAGAACTGGCGGAGCGACACGCTATCCAAAAGTTCCTGACAGCAGCTGCTCTTCTTTCACCGAGACAAGCAACAAAGCATTATGTTGGCTCGAGTGCTCCCCACCAGAGAGAGCGAGGCGGGATGCCCAGGGAGCACCGGCACCCTGGAGCCCTGGCGGCCGCGGCATGCTTCCGCCCTTCGCCGAGGGGTTCGAAGCGTGCTACCCGGGGAACAGCGGCACTCCTGGGGCCCGGCAGCCGCGGTATGTGTGTGCAGGGTGTGCGAGGCGGGACGGGAGCCCTCTACTGCAAATCTAACAACCCTCAAAACAAAACAAAACTCTGGTCTTCTGGATAATAAATAAAAAACAACTTCTAACAACCCTCACAACAGATAAAAAAAAAAAAAAAAAAAAAAAAAAAAACCTCAAAACAAGCCCTCTACTCAATCTCTGCAAATCTAACAACCCTGGATGTCTGCCGGACAAAAAAGAAACGCGCCTCAGCCGCTTGTGCACGTGCTCGGGTCGCCAGCCCTGAAAAGGCACGCTCCCCGTCGCGATGAAGTACGCCAGCAGGCCGAAGGAGTAGCAGTCCGCGGCCGCGTCGGGGGGCACGCGCGAGAACAACTCTGGCGCCATCCACCTGCTCGCGCCCCATCCCCAGAACCCTCGCGTAGTGAACCACAAACGAAAAAAAATAGGATTTTCCCAGTTTCGGGGCCCCCATACCTTCACGGATCGATCCGGCTCGAAAAATGCACCAGAGAAAGAAGGGTCCATGGCTCCGGTAAAGTCTTACGGTGTTGCAACTCCCCGAGACGGCGGATCTTCCGATTTCCTGCCTCTGGAGGCCCTCGCCAGGCCCCGGGACCGTCAAAAAACGGCTCAAGATGAAAAGGTGGTGCCAGGGAATTGGGTCGAGACCTCCAGGAGTCCGCGCTGTCCAAAATCACGATGTCGGGGCATCTGGATCCTCCTCGTCCTTCCTCCCCCTCTCCTGCTCCTCCTCCTCCTCCGCCTCCTCCTCCGCCAGTGTCGACATGATCACAGAGCGGCCAGGGGCCAGCTCCACCGCAGCGTGCCGCCGAGAGGCTTGGCCCTCCGGGTGAGGACCCGCGAGAGGCCAAAGTCGAGCACCTTCGCGTGGTAGGTCCGCCCGCTCCTCTTGCGCCGCTCCTCCACGAAGACGTTGGAGTCCTTCAGATCGGCGTGGACGACGACGGGCTGCCGCGAGTGTAGGTATCGCAGCACGTTCAGGATGTCGAAGACGATCAGGGACCTTGGGGAGACCAAGGGGTACCCATACCACTACTCCCCCGACCTCTCCCAGGGTGAGTTCTGGCCAGCCACCACAAGGCAATGTCACCACAGGGCGATGTCACCCAACCGCACTGGAGACCACCATGTGGCTTCCACCGACGACATGTGGGGCGAGCGCGGATGGGAGGGATTCGTGTAACTCCTTGGCTTCGACCGAATCAGCAACAACACGGCGACCTGGAGAACCGGGGCCACTGTGACAAGCACGGCTTGGGCCAGTATTGCGTCGTTGAGCAGCGCGGGTGCAAACTGCACCACGAGATGGAATCAGCATCACCATTGTTACCACTGTCGCCAGAACGGTTGGGGCTCGCAGCGCGGCGCTGTACAGCACGAGTGCGCGTAGCAGTGCGAGCATTACCATCACGACTGGGGCGGCAGCACGACGGCGCCATGGAGCATACCAACACGATTGAGACTATGACTCGAGGGTGGGAACGTTGAGCCACGTGGGAGGGATGACTCGAGTGAGGGGTCACCTTCTCCAAAATCCCCATCACCCCTGTCGTAGCACGTGCGACGCCAGGGGGGGGGCAGCCCGCCCACCAATCTCCCCACCACAGGGGGGGGGGGTGCGGAGTCCCTGTGGGCGGGACGGGGTGGGCACCGAAAAGGCACCATAGCCATTTCAAACACCAAGGCGGGCACCATAGGCCTATCGCAACCAACGGATGTGCACCATACGTCCTCAACCGTATATGGCGTCATTCAGCATTCATTGAACTTTCCACCTTGGTATGTCAGGAGGCCCACAGACGCGAAAATGAAGCAAGGGTAGCGGTATCGGTACCCTTTCCTCCTCCGACCAATCGAGCCGTCTGGTTGTCGAGTCATAACCGGGGTCTCCGGCGGCCGTTCGGGACGATCCAGGCAGCCCCAGAACGCTCTCGGCGAGGCGCAGCTGCTGGGGCGCATCCCGGGGATGGAAAACCGGCGAAAACATGCTCCTCCTCCGAGTCCCTGGCCGCGATCTCGAGGGAAGGGGCAGCAGCATCGGGAAGGGGTAGTAGCCATTTCGTCGACTGCCCCTCTGCGAAACCATTCCAGAGAAAGCTGCGGTCCACGGCAGTTGAGGCCATCAGGTCGGGCCGCTGCGCCTGACACAATCTTTTCAGCGTGCCTTGCTGCGCTCCGCAGCTGCCCCTCGTTCGTGTTTCGGTCTGAGGGTTCGTCGTAGAAGATCAGTGCCATTTCGGCAACTGGAACAGACACATTACGAGTGGCGGGTTGTTTTTTTCATCAATCCAACGAATTTTTGAGGGTCGGGGACGACGTCGAAGTGGTGTGGTGTATACTTTGCCACGTTTTCCAAGAGAAGCAGCGAAAATGTATACACCAGGATCCCGTGTACACCAGGATCCGTGTTCCTGTGCGAATTTCAGCGCAGGGTCGGAAAAAGCGTCGGTGTATAGAGTTCGTTTCCCGACCATTTCCTCCTCCGGGACCTCGCGGAGAGGCTGCTCGCCAGGACTCCCGCCTCCGAGGCCCCAGCGAGCGGCTCCGCGGGCCCGCCGCGCGGCTCCCGCGGGAGGCCCCGGACGAACTCGCCGAGGGGCACGCCGTCCACGAACTCGAGCACGAGGCACAGCCTGCACAGGGCTCCTCCTCCTCCTCCTCCTCCTCCTCCTCCTCCTCCTC